TAAAAAAGTAAATCAGAGCTAAAAAAGTGTAAAAACGCAAGCAAATTTGCCTGTATTCTACTACAATCTAAGGGATACATTCTACCTTTTTATAATTTATACAAACAATCAGATTGTTATACAACAGGTCACATATTGTTATATGATGAAATGACAATACTGATATTGTATTTTTCCATAACATTAAGAAATATTTTGGTTCCTGCATGCAGAATTTTTATTCAAATTTGTTTGTCATTCAAGCGTATGGAAAATTAAAAAACTATTAATTCCTGAAGAGGTTGTTACAGTAGGATTACACAAATTTATTTTTATTTAATTGTTGGCTTCTTGCTTTTTCCTTAAGAAAATTTTCATTTATATATTCTATTCACTACTTTTGCATGTTTTACAATATAGATGTGAATGATGATTGCATTCGTCACAAACCTCTTTTTTCTTGCAAGCTCAAAAAATGTATAGATAACTAGTATTTTTAAAAAATCTGTTAACTAACTTTCTGGCTTCAAGCAAGAATTGTGAAAAGGCTGGGATATACCACTTTTCAAAGTAATTTTGTTTATTTTTATTTGTAAGTCTATATTCTTTTATTGATATATATTGTCACAGCTGATTATGAAATCGGATTATTGTGAAATTTGGGGTCTCAATTTGAAAATATAGGCCTTACCAAAATCCACCAATACTCTTTTATTAAAAACTCTAACCCTAAATCCTAACTCAACTATAAAAAAAAAGCCTACAAAAAAAGCCCAAAAAAATTTAAAAATCGTACATGAAATAGATCCAAATTTCACAATAATCTGATTTCATAATCAGCCGTGATATATATTAACAGAAAAAATAATATATATGTGGCTAAAATTTTTGTAATGTGTACTGCAGACAAATTATGTATAACAATAATGATAAGCCTCATAAGGTCAAAGCGTCCTATATCGACATATATATAATTTATTTTAGAAAAATCGATATTACAAATTATGCTTGTACTTTATTAATTTAGAAAAACTGGACACGTGTGTCTAGGCACAGTAATGTGGCACAGTAAATATATATTTATTAATTCATTTTTAAAACCTCAACAATTACATGATCGACATTATCTTAAGATAAATTTAAAATAGATCTTGCTGGAAAACTTTTAATCCGTAAAATCTTAGTTTTACCACCAATACCAGAAAAAGCTTATATACTTTTTCAGCTCTTTCCCTCCTCTTTCGCAAAGCATCATCAGTAAATTTTATTTTCAGAATTTCTTTCTGACCTTATCTTTCACAATAGCAGTAGCGCCTACTTTTTCATGAATAGCTTTTAACTCGTTATACTATTTATATATAGCTTCACCAAAATTGAAATAACTTTCAATAAGTTCTCTTGTTGTATTTTTATTTTTAGATTCTGCGTAGTCAATCTTATTGGAAAATTGCAAAAAACTACCACTACTTACATTTACTTCTGAAACTTTGCTAATACTAGAAATATCAGTTGATAATTCTTTGATAATTTTTTTTAATATAGATAATTCTTTTTTTTCATCTTCTTTTCTTGGTTTTTTACCAGATGATTTATCTGTGATAGTAGGTTTATTGGCATGCTTTTTAATTAAGGTGAAGTCTGTGTCAAACATATCCTGTATCTTTTTGACCAGATGATATTTCTGAAGATATATTCATTATGTTACTAGCATTTTGAGATAAAGACTCTGTGTTTTGCATCTGATTTTTGGCAGAGCTAAATACAAAAATATCATCAATTGGTTTGATTTCTATTGCATATTTTGGGTATTGCAGAAGATCTTTTACATAATGCTCAAGATAATCACAATTAAATATATGGCCACAAGTGAGTATAGTAAATGGTTTTTTAATTTTGTACAAAAAAAGCTCTTGATTGCATTTTGAACATGGGTCAAGTTCTGGAATTTTAATATCTTTTGCAATAATATCCAGGAAGCCATTCTTAAGGATATTTAAAGCAAGGTTTTTGAGAAATAAAATATTTTGAGGGGTCAGGTCAGTAGATATATTTAAAGATAAAATTTTGTAAGATTTAAAGAATTAGTATACATTATAGATGAATAAGTATTTGCAATTTTCTTTATATTTAGCTCATTTTTATATATTAAACACTCTCACAACTAACAAATCTAATTTGCAGATTTTATTAAACTAATTTTGAGTTTGGTGATCTGTTCATTTATGAATTATTTAGTATGGGCCAAGATCATTTGATCTTTGCTGGCAATCACAAATAAAAAATTTAGCTTAAAGGTATCAATAAAATAATTAATATGGTGAATGAAACCTTATAATATTTCAAGGTATTTTATATATTTGAATGTATCTTTCCCAAAATTATATGAATCTAAAGAGTTTCTATAATTATAGTCTTCAATATTAGTCAATATCGTATTTCTAATTCTTTTACTGAAGATCATATTTTTATTTAATAAATACCTTTCTAATTTTATGAGCTTATCAATATTATTAATGTATTATTATATATAGGCTCAATTTTATTATCATTTATATCTAATTGTCTATGGCATCTGTCTAGTTTCTCTAATAAATCATAGTATTTTGTATTAAAGTTTTTATACCTCTTATAAAGTTCATGACAAATTTCTTTATACCATGTGTGGTTAATTTGAATACAGTTATCTAGACCCTCTAATAGAAGTTTTGAGATGATTTTAGCAATAGTATCTGGAAGTATAAATGGGTTGAATATATACATATTATATTTATATATCAAACGTGTAGATTTTATTAACTAAGACTTTTTATTTAATTTTATATTTATTTACTATTGATCAAAAAATAGATATATTCATTACAATAAGTAGAATGATTTAGTTAGGTGTTTATTCTTCCAGAATTTTATAATTCCTATATTAATATGTTGTTATATTATTTTGAGCTATCTATAATTTAGTATCTAATATATTAATACTTCTCTTTGTTTGTATTATTCTATACATTTGATAACCGTAACTTTGATGCACCTTCCCAAATATATTTTGAATAAAGACAAGTGGTAATAATAAATAATTCAGTATAAGATATCAAGATAATTAATCAAAAAAATTTTATATCCTATATAATGCTCACATAATTGCTAATGCTTTGTCTCATTGAGTAAGTCAAACTTGATGATTCCGATTGCATTCAAGACAGACAAGATGTATAATTTATTATCAATTCAATCCAATATCTATTGATCAGGATTTTCAGCTTCATCCTATTTCTACAACATTTCATTGAAGCATAATTCATATTTATTTTTTTGCAAATCTTTTAATACAAGGATATAATCAAAAGATAAGTTAAATTCACGATATTTTTTCTTATCTTGATCTATATACCCTACAAGTTTTTTAGAAATAAATAGTTTCAATAAACATTTAATAGCTTTCTTATTTTTTGCATCTTTAATCTCAGAAAATAATGAGAGACCTTCAATCTAAATAAGTTGGCTCAAATATTCTACATGACCAACTGCAAGATAAATTAGATTATCCTAGGCTAAATTTTCATTGATAACCCAAATACATTGCAAAGCTTTGAGTATCATTTTCTAATTGGTATAAATAGTCATTGTATACCCAAGTTCCTAATCTATAGCCTTTCTTTTCCTAATATGCTTTGTAAAAATTTATCAGGAAGTGTATTTAAAGGTAAGTATATTATATCATTTTTCACTAGCTCACTTTTTTCAGATAAGTTAGGGATCAGAACAAGGCAATTTTGTTTGCACCCATCTTTTGGCCTATAAATTAATAGGATTAAAATTTCAGGATATTTTGTACAATGAAGCTTGAGATATATTTGTGATGCAAGTCTTCAAGAAAGTCGATATGCTGATAGAATTCAATCTGAGAAAGACTATTTTTTTTCAAAATATTTTCATTTTTCTATAACTGGAATATACATACCAATGAAATTATTTTAAATTTCGAGATATAAAATTAAAATTTGAAGATGAAATTGTTTTTGATCTATTTTACTTAAAGACAAAATTTTTGACACTTTTTTTGAAGAGACAAAATTATAAAGAATATAACTACCTAAATTAGATTTGCTCTTGCAAATAAAAAATTCTAAATTGCTCTAATAGAGACAAAATAGAGTTTTTTGAAAACCTATTTCAGTGGCATGTATAAACTGGAATTGCTCTACAAAATAATTCTGATTGTACTCAATTATTTTTATGGTATATTCTCTTTTTGAGTTCACATAATTTAGGACATTTGGCCTGATAGTCAGTCAAGACTTCCTCATAGTAATCAGCTTGTTTTTTTAACCAGCTATGAGGCATTTCTCCAAAGAATGGTAGAGGCTGAGTATCATCACTGCAACAAATTATCTGATATTTTTGCTCTAGTAAGTAATCGATAAACTTTTCTAAAATGTGTTTAGGTACTATATATACTTCATCCCATATAACAACTTGCAAGAATTTTTTTTCTCCCATACATTCAGGAGTCCACTCTTCTACACCATTCTACCTAAAGAAACTATACCAAGTTTGGGCTTTTACCTTACGGTCATTTTGGAAGTCTTTGGCCAATATATTTGTATGAGTAAAAACAACTATGTTTATGTCTTTAAAAATTTTGATAGCTTGTATCATTTTACCAAATCCACCTTCTCCATTGAGATATAAATTTCGATATTGCATAATAGGATCATAAATTGATAGAGCCGTACTATCTAAAATATCTTTGATCGATTCCCAATGCTTATTCTTTGGCCAGTATACAATATTAGCAACTGGTCTATATATTTTTTTACTCTTATCATGCTATTGACCAGGTTGAATTTCTCAAACTTCTTGTTCTTCTTGCTGATTTAACTGCTTTTGACAAGAATCTGATTTATAAAACTATTTCCCAAAGCAAAATCTGCAAACAAACAGAGTATGCCTTTTATATTTATATTTTACTAGAGGCCTTTTTGTTTTTAGAAACTCTTTAATCTATTTTGCATATTCTGATTTTAAAATAAGAAATTCTTCTGGATCGCTACACATTGCATAAAAAGAATAGTATAAATATAAATTTGGATCTGACTTTACCTCAACTTGGTTGAAGAATAATGGTATATTTTCAATCTTATATAATGCTTTTTTTCATACATATAGAATCTGTAGCAATCCTTACTACTTCATTAGGATTATACATACTGACAAAATTATTTTAAATTTTGGGATACGAAATTAAAATTTGAAGATGAAATTGTTTTTAACCTATTTTACTTAAAAGACAAAATTTTTTGACATTTTTTTTAAAGAGACAAAATTATAAAGAACATAACTATCTAAATTAGATTTGCTCTTGTATATAAAAAAATTTAAATTGCTCTAATAGAGATGAAATAGGGGTTTTAATATATGCATATGCTAATATTGAAGCCCACAAATATGTATACTGAGGCTGATGACCCTCAAAATATGTAAATATAAATCCAAGTGGACATCTTTCTCTTCCAGAAAAGTTCTAGCATCTGTACAATCTTTTATTAAAAAATCAAGTTTATTTTCATCTATTACAAGACAATAGATAAGTTATTTTTCTTCATTTTTTCTGCCCTTTGTAAACTTACCTATAATTGTATAACTAATATTTCAATTTTTTGGTAACTATACTTTAGTCTGCCATGTAAGAGAGATAATTGCTTCTCTAATAGTTAAGTTTTCTAGAATACCAGTTTCAAGAAGATATTGTAACAATACTATTAGAGTCTATCTTTTATTTTTTATATATTCTTCTCCACTATAACATGTAAAATATTTTCTATACCAAACTAGGATTACTAAATATATGTTAGAAGTGAACTTAAAAGAATTTATCTGTGCAAATCTAGTAATATCATCTTGAAGCAATTTTTTATTTACTGCAACTCGGACAAGATGATGTGTTAGATACCCAAATCGATTAAACCATAGTGCATATTCTCCTTGGCCTCACATATTTGCTAAATAGCATTCTTTTATATTAATATATATGATATCATTAATGTGATAACTGGGTATATTTTAGCATCCACTATGCTATGCTCAATACAAGCTTGTTTTATAATATTATTTATTTTTCCAGATATTGGATGCCATTTATTGATTTCATTGGCAAGTTGGCTTCTAATATGGTTTGCACCAAATACTTGTTCTACTAAGTCAACCACTTTGAGAGACTCTAAAAGAATTGATTACTTTTTCTTATTGATTATTCCTTTCTAAAATTGCTAATCTATTATATCATTAATCAATTGTTTGCATGCTTCTATAATTTCTGTATGCTTTTTCTATATTCTAAATATACAACCATCTTTTAGAACAAATTGGAATATTCTTTGATTCTCACTCTCTATTCCTATAAGCCAAATAGCTTGAGAACCTTGAAGAGCATTGTTAATAGCTTCCTAAGTATCACTTTTATAATATTTGACTATTCGGTCTCTTGAAAAATATTGGTTTCAAAAGAATGCATGGCCATTATTAACTACTATCTCTATTTCTTCATACTTACCTGATCGATATTTTTTGCTATTAAAGATAGTACCATGAGTAATATCCAGTAATATAATTGGTCGCTTGAGAATTTTTTTTAACTCTGCTACATCTTGTACTCGAGCATCTGAAATACATATTTTTTTCTCTCAATCATTTATTTTTTGCCAATGAATTTCTGTGAGTCCATGTTCTTTTTTGGCTTGATCAAAATGCTTTATTACTCATTCAGCTATACAGTTAAGTACTCCATCTTTCATAAGCATTAATCGATTGATATCTGGTTTTCAGATTCAATATAATTCATAGACTACTGCATTGCTATCAAGTCTTCCTACTTCAGATTGCTTACTAACTTCTCTAACCAGAAATTTTTCATCTATTCCTATCCAAAATCCTGGTTTTATTTTTTTTGTAAATATAATATTTGGACCACCTCTGATGTATTTTTCACGTGCCTTTTTTGATTCACGAATAGGTTCATATTTATCAATAATTTTAAAAGTGATCTTTGTTTGAAATTCATCTCTATATACAGAATCATTTCAAATGAATTTTACCTTTATTAAGAACTCGCTATTATCAATCATATTTAAAATTTCTTGGGCTCGCTCTTTAGTCATTCTAGTTTCGTAATTTTTGGATTCTATTTCCACAAACCAGGTTGAGAAAGCATATTCAGCTCCATCTACTTTAAACATATCTTTTGTATACTGAATACTATTTTGCTATACTTCATGATACTCTTCATTTTCTGAAAATAGGATTGGCCAAGACACTTCTATATCTAAATCTAGAAAATGATAAACTTGAGGTTCTGGATCGTTAGGTTCGTTATCTTTTGATTTCATTAAATTAAACCATTTTTTTTCTGTTTTGGGTATGAATCTTAATCTAATTTTTTTATTACTTTTTATTTCTGGTTTTGTTAACCATTTTATTAGCTCATCTATTTTTAAAAATTGATTTTTTTTTGCTCTATATTAGTATTAGAACTTTTTTTTTTTTTTTTTTTTAGTTATTAAGGCTGATGTTACGGAGCTTACTGCCTTTATTTGTGTTTTTAGTTAATG